TTCCTCCATGACAAGCGGCCACGGTGTATCTATTCTTACTGAAGGTGAAGTATACGGGATGCTAGAAGGAGTGCCATGAACAGTATTCCAGAAACTGTCCAAAGTCAGTACGGTCCAAAACGCGTTTATAAGCTCTCCTTCTTCTATGGGGTCTCTAGGCGGGGCTAGTGTATCCAAAGGCTGAGCTAGGTATCCAAAGTGCTCAGCGCCAGAGCTACGAAGTTTGTGCAAGCCAGCACTCAGCACAAGAGATGCAGCAGCCGTCACATGGTATTTTCCCTCTACAGTCTTACCTGCGAGGTAAAAATAGTTTCCGAGAAGAACTTCGGCCTGAATGAACTGGGTCACTTTTTGAGGGTGAGATTCGGAAAGGGAATGTGCTGAACTTTGAAGCGCACGCGAAACAAGTGTGGCTTCCTGTTCCAGGGAGTTCTGGGAAGACGAAAGATGATTCCCCCACACATAGGTGGTATTCAAGAGGGCGAAGGTGGGAGCTTCGCCTTTGAAGTGCAATACCGTATTAATGAATCGGTCCCGATGCAAGAAAAAGCCAACCCAGCAGCAATTCATAATGAAATTATGTACCCTGGCAGTAAGGCCGTATTTAGTACTACTTCATTCGAACTCGCTGAAACTTACAAGATTCGTCGAATGATGGGAGGCAAGTCCTGTCAGCAATGCACGATTATTCGATTGGCATTCAAGAAGGAGCGACTAGGTCTACCTCGAAACCAGATGCTGGTAAAGGTTCTGCGGTGCTGAATGAGCGAGTATACAACAAGGAGACAAGAAATCTCAACCATTGCTCCCATTTTTCAAGAGCTTAGCCTTTGGCATCAGGATAGAGTCCACCTGCTTCGTTTTTCGCATACCCGGTGTAGCTCCTCCGCTCTCAAGGTCTTTCAGCCGAGCTTCAAGTACAGATATCTGGTCCTCAAGAACTTGAACGTGCGTGATACCATTATTGTCGTTGTACTCGCAGTCGCTGAAAGCTGATGACGAATTCAAACAAGGCCCGCATCTTGGTCTCTCCCCATCACATTTCTACAGGGATGCTCTTGAGCAATGCGCAGGTACTATTGCACACAGTACACACGATCTTTCGTCGTCTGGAAGAGCATTAGTGGATCTATTATAGTACAAAGGAACTTACTAACCTGCAATTTGTACACGCTGAACCTTTCTGTAGCGGTGTGCTTTGCTTAGCCATTTGCTCTTTAGACTTCTTTAGAGTACAGACAGAGTACGGACAAGATTCACAAAAGGCACAAGGCACCTTCGCCGCCGGCAATATTTATGTCTCCAAGCGATCGTCGCGGAGCTTACGCAGCATATTTATCGTCGGCAAATTTACTTTGGATCCTGGCAAGTCGGTGGCAAGTACATAGTACGACAGACTGACAATAGGTCACTACGTTTAAAAAAATTTCGAGCATATTATGAATGGCGTACTGCCAGCTTATGAAAATATTGAACTAAAATTTCACAGAAATCCCAACATTCTCGGTCAAAACGTCCTCTGTCGTTTCCCAGAGCTCTTTGGCCAACTTCGAATCTTTGGCAGCCTCTGACTCGTCTTCAGGGGAAGGAACGCCGTATGGCATTACGTACGCTGCAGCCCATTTGCTCCTTTCTTCCCAAACCTCTTCCGCAGCAGCAACAAACAAGGGCGCCAGCGCACCTTGGAGTGGAGTTTGCGCGTCGTCGAGCGTGGACAGGTTCTCGGGGCCCACGAAGTTTATTGAACCGTCTATGAATGGCCGCGAATGAAACGAATATGTCAATCATCAAGATGGCGCGTATGTATGGGTACGAGTGAGCCTACCAGTTTTTACACCTCCTGGATGAACTGCTACCGAGATGGCCTGAACTCCGGCCTCATCCAATTTATGCTGAAGTTCTTTGGCAAAGAGGATGTTGGCGAGCTTGGAGTACCCTTTTGAGAAGCGGAGAACGCAATTAGTAAAATATTTCATCTCAGTATCGAAGCTTCTCACCGTAACGCTTCAAATTAGCCTCTGTGCCATCTCTCTCACCGAAATCGTTGTTCAAAGATTGAAGAGAGTCAACTTTCACGTCTGGAGTAATGAGAACATGTGCAACAGAACTGAGCTACATATACCGTGTATGATTAAGCGAGCATGGGTAGGAGTACGTGTGCCAGAAGCTAACAACGCACCGTGATTATCCGTACACCAGGGTAGTTCTGAGCGGTTTTCTTTAAAAGAGGGAGTAATCCCAGGGTGAGAACAAACGGAGCGAAATGGCTGAAGGGGAAGTCAGAAACCTGTGAAGCGCCATAAACACGAGAAAGGCACACTTGACCGTCATAGACGTGGATATACCATGATCGTCCAACTCAAGGCCACAGGCAAGACTCACGTTGAATATCAGTTGGGAATGCAAACCCAAGGAGAATGGACGCTCACACTGCAGCGTTATTCACTAGAATATCCAGCCTTGATTCCTTGGCGACAAAAGCTGCCGCAACGTCTCTGACTGCCCTCAAGTTGCTCAGCTCGACAACGAAAGGTTTCAATTGTTCCACTGATATTCTGCCTTGGGAGCTGGCGAGGATGGCAGTGATCCCAGCTTGTGCTTTATCCAAAGTACGAGCGTGGACGTAGACTTTAGCGCCTTGAAGAGCAAGCTGGTTGGCGACGTTCCACCCGATACCGAGCGGCGAGCTGTGAATACAGGGCTCAGAGTGATCGGAGGTATCGCTGAAATGACTGGGGTCGAAAAGGCTTACTTTGAACCAGTTACCAGCGCGACTTTTCCAGTTAAATCAGGTAGCAAGCTAGGATCGTATTCCTACATAGACAACACCAAGATAAACGAGTGCATGCATCAAGTTGATGGATACCTACATCGCGACGAATGGCAAGATTCATTGGGTGTGCTTCAAAGTTGTTTTGGCTGTGAAGTTATGTGAGAGTAGATGTCGCTGAGAGCAAGAGCACACACACCATCGAAATAAGAAGAGAGCACCTTTAATATGGAATTAGAGCCCATGACATCCCCAGCTGTCAAGGCTGCTCAGCAATCGAATCGGTAAGAAATTCGCGAGCGTATCGGGATATATACTTTCAATCCAGCATTGGCTGAATCACACAACCCGAGGATTGTATGGACGGTTGAATGGCATTCTCACAGTCAACGGAAGATTGGATGAAGCCATGCGTACTTGGAGCCGTGAAACTTGAAGTGTTTAAAAAAGTTGGGTACCGACTCTGGTCACTGTCAGGACACAGTCACAGAGTCATGTGAGATGACAGATCGTGATGTAAATGTAGCGGCATTGTATAGCCTTGTTCTTTCGGGTATCGATACGTCCTTGTTCTCTCAATGATATCTTAAAAACGCGTTGCCTTCTTGCTAATTTTGATATAAGGGTCTTTTGGATTCTATAGGAACGAACTCACCTTCTTTTTTCGACTTTGAGTCTCGACGATCGTGGATAGACCAAAGCCGTACTTCTTCCTTCATTTCAACCCACGAAGGTCAGGACCTTAGGAAAGAGAAAGAGTGTGCCTCCTCACATACTCTACGAGAGTAAATATGCAGTCAACAGCAGCTACACCTACCGCAACATCTTCGCCCACCGGGAGGAAAAAGCCTCACTGTCGCACCTGTGGATTACCGATGGAAGGCCATCGAAGGGGCGAGTGCGAAGGTTCGACTGAACCTTCTGAATCTGGCTCTCAAAATGATTCGGATGATAACGATGACTTGACTCGGGCTGGCTCAAATGGCGAGGTGAAAGGTGAGCGTGAACTTGAAACTTTCTGGTATTTTATTGATGGACTCTCATCCTTACCTTAGATACTACCTACCCTAAAATCCCTCGCTCATCACCTTTCAGAGTAACCAGAGCATCGTACAAAGCCGCACAGAATCAGAATGACGATCAATTCGCTGTTGGTGACGACCGTGATCCAGTCATCAGGCCTCCTACCGATACACCGCCGAAGCAAAAAACAAAAACAATCACGAATTTGAAATCCAAAAGACTTTCCACTTCTCGCAATGACGATGGAGGCTTGGTCCCTGTTGTTCTTACAGACCAAGAAGACTCGTCATCGTTCGATGGTCAAGAACAGAAACCCCTCTTCACGGCTGTTGAAACCAATCCTAAAGCAGAAACATTAACGGTTTCCGCTCTCAAACACGAAGAAGAAGAAGCCTTGCCTTCGCCCAATGCAGTCATCTACGCTTCCTCAGACTTCCTCGAACTCGGTGAAGCTGGTGCAGCTCTCCGCGATAGGTTGCTCCAGAACACCGAAGGGGAAGAAGGTCACGTTGGTATGTTCTACACTCCGACTCCAGTGCGGGACAGGAAATCCTACGCCTACAAGGAATGGATTGTCGTGGGACGGGGAGAAGGCTCCGAGGCGCTTGTCAAACATATAGTCAGACTCGCGGACTCTCAATCTGTGTTGAGAAATAGAGCTCCCGGGACGTTTGTTGTAGGCGGTGAACTGGAGGTCGTTGAGGGTCCGAGGATAGTAACGATCCCGCAATTGGTGTTTGGTAGTTTTGTGGCGGTGGTGCTGTCGATGTATGTGCTCTCGACATTGTAGGTGAAACAGCATGGCCCAGAGGAAGGATTTTCTGTTGACAATTTTGGGGTAAGTGTGATATGACTTTCAGCTTTCAGCTATGTTTCTATGGATTTTTCTCGAATTATGCTAATATTGAGTCTATGTCTGCATCTCTCCAAAAGTATATACTTCGACTGTGCACAGGGAAGGGTTTGAAAGTGCAAGCACGGGGAAAAGCTTTTATGGCACGCTGCGATATCGAACTTTACACTTTGAATAACTTTGGCAGGAACAATGAGATTTTAATCACAACTGCCGGACGGGGCTTTCCACAGACTTGTGTCCTCCAAAAACGACCACTCCCGTCTATCAAGGTGTTAGGCAGGCATTCTATCGTACATTAGAGGCTTAATCCACGCTGGAGGCAAGAGAAAAAAGTATTTGCCATGTCCTTCACTGCCCCAGAGAGGCTCGAACTCTCGACCTTCCGATTGCGGTATTTGCTAACAGTCGGACGCTGTAACCAACTCAGCCATGGGGCACATACAAATTGGTAATAAACATACCCATTTGGCGGACATTTATAGAACTAAATTGTGGTATCATCCACTAGCGCCATGACGGTGGCTATAGCAAGACAGCTGACAAAGTCCTGGAAAGAATTTCGTACAAGCTGAGGCTCCTTCGAGCAGGTTCGAATCCTTAAACTTGCTGCGAGCTACCATGTGTACAGCAGCGAGGCAGATGGAATGCATGCAATTTAATATTTTACTTTCTCGGAACCTGTCCCAATCTACGAAGACTAAAGCGCCGTGATCTTCAACCCATTATCCTCAAGCGCGCGAAGGCGTTTCTCGAACTCCGAGGGAACGCGTGTTGACCATAGCCTTCCTAGATGCAATCGTTCTAATACCTTACCCACACTAGTATCCCTTTTTCCTGGAAGAACACACATAGTTCTACTATCTGTTCGAGCGCCTAGTGCTGAGCTTGAACATCGCGACTCAATCATCACAAGCACAAGGCCAATCTTTTCTCGATCAATTGCGAAATCTCTCCTCGAGGCTGGAAACCTTATTCCAAATTCTTTCAAGTGAGGCAGTAGGTGTCCAGGCGTCTGCAAATACGATGCAATTGGAGCCGTTTCAGCCACTCCCGGGGAAGGCAACCACATCAGTGCTTGAATCAGCCATCTTTGCAACTGAAGGAAATTCCACGCACGATGGTCGACGTCACAGAGATCTAGTTTGATAAGAGAAGATGAGGTTGCCTGAATGAGCGCCATGAGATGTTTGGAGCTATATGATATTCCGTGTAAAGTAAGTGAGGTGAGGTGACATTCGGAACGAATGACCAATGAGGTGAGATCTGGTACGATAACATGGGAGAATGAGAACTCTTGAGAGCCACTGATAAGGGTAAGTATGGAAAGAGATGGATAGATGCACCGCGTGATATCAGGACCGAGCGTTTCAAGACGGTGGCTGGCGACAATTGTGAGTGAGGAGAGAAATAGACAGGTGTAGGCGACAGGGTCGCGGAAAGAAAAGTCGTTGGTACACGAGTCAAATCCTGCTGTGACGACGCTGGTGCATAAGCATAACGCTTTATGCATTTGGTCCAAGTCTGAGTACTCCAACGTTAAGTGGTGGAGTTGATGCCAGGGTACCGCGAACTGTTCCAGTTCAAATACCGTCATGTCAAGAGATAACGTGTGCAAGCGAGGGGCATTAGACCACATACGACTATTTGAAGATACTGGATATGGGGGACTATCATTCATCGAAAGGCTGAGCGACTCCAGTAAAGGGAACTCTTTGACTCCGCGATCTTCAAGGTCATGATACACCGTTGTTATGATATGAACGTGGCGCCAACGGTGAGCTTGAGCATACAGCATATGCATAACACTCGAATCTTTTCGTAAGTTGAGAAATAAATCCAGTGGGCTATGCCCAGACCTTTCCAAAGAGAGCTCTGTGAGATGCCTGACTCCTTCAGACTCTGGATCCTCATGTGCTAGTATACATATCGACGACCAAAGTTGACATAGCGATAAAGCTACTGCCCTCCACCGAGAGCAGACGAAGCTGAGGTCTAGTTCGCTGGCAGAATATTCGCCAGGGGCGCGGGTAACGACAAATATGAAGATTTGACACAGAATTTCGTTGGGAAGAGCATGGATACCGGCTTGTGGATCACTTGTCATGAAGACCCAGCCTTCGGAGGCTGAGCTAAGAGCTTACCTCAGGCTTACCAATGTCTGTCGGAATTCTTAAGGTTTGATTAACATACCGCCGGCAGTCTATCTGTTTCCCGTACACTCGCACAACGCCCACAACTGCATATATGGCTGGATCGTAATTATGGAAGACAGGCCATCACCGGAAGGAGAAGGGCGTCTTTGACCTTATACCTCTGCCGTCAACTCCCTTAGCCTCATCAACGATGCATCCTCTGTCTGAACTGGCCAAGGTTATCATTGACTCAGGGTCAGCAATTGTCGCGGTGGTGGCCAAGATTGAAGCACTTGAGCAGTCGAACGATGCGTCCTTACGATCATGGGCCAAAGATTTTGCCGTCGCCGTTGTAAGTCTAGCTACAGCTCGTTATGTGTTTACTGCTCATTATATGTAATTTTGTCAGGCGCGTTACCGAGGTGTCATTCGTATATTGTCCAAACGGCGCGATAAGACATCCTTTCTTGAACCAGCCGAAGTCAAGGACGCCCTTCTTGCAGCCGATAATTTTTTGCTCAAACATACCCATTGGACTTGGGACGAGGCCTGGCTCGATTCCCGATGGAAACGTGCAGCACTAGAGCGCAAGAAGATATGGGAGGCTGAGGAAGAGCGTCTTCGGATACTCAGGGAAGAGGAAGAGATCAGCACGATTCTCGCAGAAGCTCAGGCATTCCTCAAGACCGAGGTCGTCGTCTTCGACTATCCGACTGAAGAAGAGTGGGAAGCTCTTCGTAATCAGCCCCCTCTACAGGAAGACCCTGCCCCAATCAGCTTCTTCAATCCTACCTTTGACATAGCCTCCGAATCACCGGACAGTTCATTCAGAAACTCGCCATTGTCGTTTTCTGACATGAGCATGAGTAGTCCTAGTTCTCCCCCTTCGACAGCTCCTACCCCATTACAGAGTCCAAAGATTCCTGTGGGAAACATCGACCGTATTTGGGATGATCCAGTGTTACCAGCAACTCAGATCGGCCCTTCATCGAAGAATCGAGCTGATCCCCGCACTCAACTCAGTAGGGAACCTCACGGAAATCCTGGGATCACTGGGAAAATTGCCCCCGTCTCTAGCGGCTCTGGAACTACTGGAAAGCATGTGGGACTTGCGAAATCCATGGATTCTGCAACTGCTTCTGAAGGACATGTTTCCACGAGTTCTGATTCTACCTCTCGCCAAGCTTCCATTAACGCTGATGTGGTCATCCGTCCTCACACAACCCGCGCCACGCTGCCCACTACCAAAGGCGCTAAGGCCAGATTTAATTCGACGGTGAAAAATTCTCCCAATAGCACAATCAATAACCAGCCCCCCAAAACCAATGCTACATCCCCGAGGCGACCACAATTTTCTCAGCTGACGGTGGCCACATCCTCACAAGTGGGTGTTTTTTTTTTGTGATCCATGATCCCCGATCTCAGAATGTTATTTTACTCTCATACATAGTTTGATGGTGTCCGAGTACCGTCTCCGATGTCACCTGCGCGGCGCAACAAAAGAGCCCGTGATAATGATGATGATGATGAGGATGAAGACGAGTTCGTGAGACGTGATGGTGGAACTCTGATTGGAACCGGCCAAATCAACTGTAGGTCCTGATAGTCTAGTTATCGTCGCTCCTTGCTTCTCACACCTACCGCAATGCATCTCATTGACAATCTGATGATCTGTCATTCTTGTGTTCTACAGCCCCTTCATGTTCGTCCTGCTCCAAAGTCAACTCGAAATGTTTTCGTTTAAACGACAAGTCCTGCTGTGCTCGTTGCTACCAGGAGCACCTGAAGTGCCCATTGGACAGGCCAAAGACGAAGAAACAGAAGGCGCGCAATATAGTGGAGCGAGATGCCTAGGGGTCGGCTAGGCAGTTCCGAGGCGTTCATCGTTTCTGAAGTTTCAAGGTTTATTGTGAGGGATCCGATACCCATGGTACATGTGCAGGAGTCAAGCAGGACAGTGGCGGGACCGTGACGGACCGCAACGTGACGAATTTTATATCATTTTTGGAGCCTTCTATTCGCTTTCTTTCGGTTGGTATAATGTGTCTAGTTTTCGAAGATGTGTATGCTGTTAGGGTCATTGTTGTACCAGTAACTTGTGCTCGAATTTATACAATGTACAGTAGCGTTTACCTCACTATTCTAGGGTTCCCCGAATGGCCATGATCAATCTTTAGACTACAGCAGCCCTTTAATTTCCAGCTACTCGCATCCACGAAACGCTTCAAATTATCTACGTGCTGTTAAATGCTGTTAACCGGTTTGGGGTGACAACATCTTTGACGAAGCGCATAACTTGCACTGTGGGGAAGAACGCGTTTTGGCACCTCCAAAATCCATCCATTATCCGTAGATTTTTACCAAAAATTGACCGATTTTGGGATGTCAAAAAGTTTGTACATTTCTCATATAGCTGGCTATAGAATATGAAGTTCATATTGTGCAGTTATTCTGAATTATCTACCAATAATATTGAGGATATAATAATGACTTTGTGCCTCACAATTTGTTAATATTTTTGTCTGCTCGAAATTTGAAATAATTGTAACATAACCTACCAGTGAACATGAGGAACATAGTCCGAGCTTATTTGGAATAATCATACAATATTCCCCCATAGGTAATT